ATATACCAAATGATGCAATACACAATATTTAAGTAATCTTTGTACCATTGCAATTTCTTTTTTATTCTGTAACTATTGGAATCAGCCACTATAGGTATGTTAACCCTATTGAAGTTTCTACAAAGCTGAAATGTTTTACATCGAAGGGTTAAAATACAGGGACAGTACACCCAGAACACTTCATTGAGATGAAGTAGTGTGGGTGCCTTTTTGGGTCCTTTGATTTAAATTTGAATATATAGGATAACAATTTACAGGTAAATTGTGGAAAACAATGTGGATGGGAGGTATAAACAGTTTGGCGAGAGATGGCGAAAGGTGAAGAGACATTGCAAAGATGAAGAGAAACAATTGGCAGGTGAAAAGAGGGGGCAGAGAGTTTTTAGGAGAGATGGTGAGACTGTGAGGAAATTAGATGAATAACAAACCAATGAGATAAAGAGCAAAGAGCTATACCAACAAAATGTGACAAGAGATGGAAATGTGGAAGATGGCAACAGTGATTGAGAAACAGAGATAGAATAATACAGAGAGAGGAGGAGTAATAGATAAAGACAAACAGAAAACAGCTATTATATATTTTACACTTCCTCTCCTTTTGCAGCTGTTTTGCCTTACTAATCTGATGAAAAGTGTGACAAGAGCAATCTCGCCACATTGCATTGGAGAAGCCTGGTTGCTCGCCTGTTGCCTTTAGACTATGGCCCCATGTTGAAACGCTGGATTTTCCCCTGCAAAGACATGAAAGCCGGGTCATTTGGTGATTGCCCTGTTTGAGCAGTGATACCCCAGATAGCTATGCCATGGAGCCCATTCGTATAATGAAAGACTATGGGAAAGACTTTGGCTCCATGGCAATTGAACTGTATGTGTGTGCTCTGAGCGCCATTCAGTAATAATGTGCGCTCAGATCTGAGCTATCTGGGGATATGTTGAATGTACCTGTTTTGTGCAATGGCTGCACAGTTATATGTTTTTATGTGTTTTATTGTCTTTTGCTGCCATGTGTTCAATGGAGTTTTGCCTCTGTCCTTGGAGATAATTGGATTACTTCCCAATTATCTCCAGGGTAGAAGACTCTGTGGAACTGGTTTTGGGCAGAAAAGCCATGCTTCCTTTGGTCACAAAGGACTACGATCTATCTTTTGAACCACTGGACCAATTTTGATGATTTTGACATATGTTTGTATTTGGAGTATGCTGATTCTGAAAATGTAAGTTTTATGTGAATGTGATGAATAATGTGGAAAATTGTATTTCTCTGCTTGTTATAATTACATTACCCATTGTGTAAGGTTATTGTATCACAGGCAGAGGGGAGGATTTTGTGTGGGAGTGTCTGAGTGTATTGTATGTATCTGTCTGTTTACTGCTTGACCCTCAAAATGGAGCCTTGTCTCGTTCTTGGGGGGATATATTGTATGCTGTTCCAGTTTGACTGCTAGGAGTGTAAACCTATTCGTATGGTTTTTCCTATTCGGCTGTTTACGGCATTCATATGGTTTCCTGTTCGGCGGATTGGTGTTCTGCAGTAGCTGTGCCTGTGCATCTGAAAAGGGGAATATCACCTAAACGGTTTTAACCCCTGGTGTACAAAAAGAAAGTGAGTATGTGAACCCTCCAGCCTCCATCTGTTCTGGAGACTTACACCTGGCACTGTCCTTATTAAGTGCATCTAGATGTAATGCCTGGCAAAAGCTTCACATTTCCTCTAGAACTCCTGGGCACATCTGAAAAGACTTACAGTACCTCAGAGACCAACTTCGCCTTCTTGAGAAAACTAACAAGGACCTCAGTAATAGAAACACACCGGAATAACATCTGGTTAAGAGGCCTACATGAAACGGTGTCCACCGAACTCATACCGGACACACTCACTACTTCCAGAACCTCTTGCCTGATGCAACTGCAGTGGACCTTCTTATGGACCGCGCTCACCATGCCCTGTGTGCTCCCCAGCTCTAACCTTACCACCCCACGGGATGTAATAGTGCAGATGCACTTTTACCACATCAAAGGTCGCCTGATGCAAGCCGCCAGGGATGCCCCCATAGAATTAGAAGGGGCTCAAATTCAGCTGTATCAAGATCTGGCACCAACCACGCTACGGAGGCGGAAAGAATTATGCCCGCTGGCAAAAAACATCTTACTCAACACGGCCTCAGATACGCATGGGAGCACCCCTTCAAGCTCGCAACTCGCAGAAGCTGCGGAACTACTGGAAAGACTTGGCCTACTACAAGTGACCCTACTTCGCAACAACAAAGACCCACAAGACTGCCACCTCTAGCACAACTGAGACACCGAATACCAACACAAGACGCAGACCATCCATCAGCCCGCTCCCAAGCACTGCCTTCGACCTGGAGAGACTAATGCTTACCAAGAACACGGACTCAGGGACTAATGTTTCTCATGGCACTTATGAACTGCAACACAGGATTTAACCAACTGTCCGACCTGACTGGTTCTCAAGGTAATGCAGGTGTCACCCTGCATCCCCACCTCCTAACTCTAATATTTAGTCTGCTCACAGTAATGATAATTTGACTGCATATTTCAATAAAAAGGTTACAAAAAACATTCGCCATCAGACACTCCCTACTTTAACCACTGAATACACTCTCTCCACGACTGCTACCTGACTAGCATGCCCAACCATTTACTGACCTTTCGCTACAGGCCCCCCTAACACGACCAAGCTAGCATAATGGACGTGGCTGCTATGCTCCTAGGCCTTGCCACCTACCAGACCCAACGGCGACGCCGGTAGGCTACCTCACAGCTCGATATCACGCCACTTCCTGAAAGCTAGACAGGACAGCACCAAGCTGCACCCGAGAACACTGGACCCACTTTAACCCCAAACACTGGGCCCTTGCGATAGCAGCCCAACGATAGGCAGAGTACTCTCCCCTGAGAGAACCCACCTACAAGACCCAGCCGGCTTTTCCTGCCCAACCACACTACTCGACCTTACCTGACACTACAATTGCTTCAAAGGCCTAGGAAAACTGACAGCACCCTACATAGCTAGCCCTCCCCCCCATGTAACCTAATGGGGCCCACACAGAGCACCTAAACAGCACTCACCCTTACCAGTGCCACACAACTAGCCCCTGGCCACCCACCTTACCAACCTTCAGTCCCCATGGTCCGAAAGCCTGACCAAACACCTGGCCACTAATCACAAGGGTCATGACCCCTGCCCCTATAAGATAAACGCAAATGCCCATGGACTGACAGCATGCTGCAGACATCTATTGGGCAATACAGGAAAGTACCACATTACTCCCCTGATACCCAGGGCTGATCGCAATAACTGTGGAATTCCCACAAGCGTCCGACAGATCAAAAGTATAGTGCACAACCTGGCCTGCTTACACAAAGGGACACAGATGGCCCCAACATAGAGACACGGTCTAGGATTACAACAGCAATATTTAGGCACTATATCCCACCATGTAGGCATTGCTGTATACTGGTATTCCCTTATTTTTTCCCCCTCTCCTCCAATCCCTCTCAGCCCTCTCTAGCCACTCCCGGGTAACAATAGCATAAATACTATCTAGGCACTGTCCCAATGACCCACACACTTGCCCACTCTACAATAATGCATTCACCAATACCTGTGGGCCCACAGCAGCATAAATCTGCATATGTTTAACGTGCACACGCTCTACCCCCCTACGACAAGGGGTGTGCTTTTTAGTGTACTTTCTCTCTCCTGGGTCCTTCCTACACACCCGAGCTCTGATACAGCTTTAATACAGGGAATGCTAAGTACTATGAATTGTTTGGGTTTTAAATTGTTAAAGTCCTGAAACTTTCCTAAAGAGAAGAGGACTTATGTCGCACTGGGGACGGATGTTTCCAACGGACGTTTCCTCCTACTCACCGGAACTATATGAACTACCAAACTCTCCCTCTGCTCACTATACGCTCCGACTACACCCGACGGTACATTTTGGGAGCTATTTAAGACCCATCTCCGAAGCCTCCAGACTAAGAAACAGGTAATTTGAGACGACTTCAACGCCACTCAAACACCTGCTATTGACCACAGATTGCAATTCAGTCGTACTCCACTGACAGCCAGAAACTACAAACACTTCACCAAATTCCTCACGTCCACAACTCTGCTAGACACCTGGCACATACAACACCTCTCCACACTGGACTATACCTTTTTTTGCACACTCACCATTTTTACTCTAGAGTAGAAGTTTTTCTCACTACATCCACAGCCTACCCCTGGATAGCTCAAAAACACATTGGCAACATTGTATGGTCGGACCACGCAGAGGTTTCCATGACACTAATCATACTGACTCTGACACACCCCTGGTACTGGCATTTGAACCCCATGTTACTTTAAGACAAAGCAACGATCCACAGCCTGACAACCAACATAAAGGAATACTTTGACATAAACACCGATGGAGACACCTCCCCTGCTATGGTATGGACAGCTCACTAGACAAAAATACGGGACCACCTAATCTTACTGGCCACAGGAATTAACAAACGCCCTAACCAAGCTCAGATGACTAGAAACACTTCCCAAACAACAGCCAACTGAGCAATTACTGTCTCAACTGACAGCCACACAAGACCTCCTAAAATCCCTAGCATCAGCAGACGTTTCAAGGACCCTGATGTGGATGAAAAAGAAGATCTATGAAAAGAGCAATAAGGCCAGCTCTCTTCTAGCACACTGCATTAAAAAAAGACAAGAGACAAAATACATTTCCAAAACCCAAACTCAATCAGGAGATATCATCAACAATCCTGACAAAATAGCACAAACCTTTCTACACTACTACACCACTCCTCACCTATCCCGGCCCCAGGACTGGAGCAAATGACCCGAAACACGACGGACCTTGACCATCTCGATCTACCCACCCTCTCCACCAATGCTGAGGAACACCTCATTAAAGTGGAGGAGATCAAAATGGTTCTGAAGACTCTGAAACCCCTGAAGAGCCCTGTCCCGGATGGATTTACTACAAAACCTTTCAGGACCTGCTTATGCCACACCTATGGAAGGTCTTCAACTTTTCTCCAGGGGAAACCTCTCCCACCCGACAGGCACACAGCCAACATATGCCTCATCCCAAAACCGGCAAAGATCATTTAGACGCAGGCCACTACCGACCACTCTCCCTCCTAAACACGGATCTGAAGATCATCACCAAAGAAGTACACCTCCTGATAGAAAAGGTCACACAAAACCTATACCAGCTGACCCTTGGACGATGCTTTTGTCCAAACCAACTGATTCCCTCATTAGGAGTGAAAATAAACTCACCACAAGAATCACCTTAGCAACACAACGAGATTGAAGAGATCCAATGGTGTTGATTTGAGGCTTCATTTAACCAGTTCTGCCATGCATTCTAGAGGGGCATCCAATGCAGACCTCCCTTCATGCTTTGCCTGCTGAGATGGATGATGCGTCAGTTCCCCGTTCCAGATCTGAGCTGGGGCCCTATCCGAAGGTGCGCTCAACTCGCTGCCCAAGCAATTTGAGGGTTAGTCAAAGGCCAGAACGCCTTAAAGCCTGTGATCACGCCAAATGGAGAAGGAAGACCCATCGTAGTGTGACATTGGCCTACCTTACAGACTGGACTCAGGCGGGGAAAAGCCCCGAACTCGGCAGACATCACCTTTTTCAAGTGTTGAAGGCCCAGCTGTTAGTGCAGGAAAGCGAACAGACAAGTGGGGACAATGTAACTTACTGGGGGATAGACTGTCTATTGCTGCCTATGGGTGGCATTGGCTGAATCCATGTTAACGCATAGCTACCGCTCTGTTGCACAATGCAGGGACTTCTGCTGGGATATTCTATTTAAGCTATAACAAGTACAAAGTGGCACTATCTCTAATTGTTTTATGAGAATGATTAGTTTTATTTTATTTTACTTAGTTATTGAGACTAACACTGTATTCCTGCTATTTATTTAACTACATTATTCTATGTATGTCACTAATCATATCTAGAAGCCTTATCCTAGACCTAAGCAACAGTCTCAGTAAGAATATGGATATGAATGCTTAGCCTCTCTACGTCTTGCTATAAAAAATGTGCACTGGTATCAATATGTAATGCAACAATTTCGCTATGTTTTCTGTTAGTCTTACAATAGCTGTCGTGGCATTGCAAGCTTTTCTGTAATACTGTGGGCAACAAAAATAAAGAATTATAAAAAAATCAAAAAAAAATCAGTGAGTGTCTGTCAGTGTGTGTGTGTATCTATCAGTGTGTGTCAAATCAGTGAGAGAGTCTATCAGTGTTAAAATGTGGCAGAGACTCACCTACATACGAAAATCCAAAAGCAGCAATCAGAGGCGTGACTAGAAAGCACTGGGTCCCAGTGCAAAAATTTCGAATTTTCCCCACCCCTCCAAGTGTCTCAGTCCCTCCCCCAAGCTACTAAATGTGTCTCATTCCCTTCCCCCAGCTCCTTTATGTGTCCTATTCTCTCCCCCCAGCTCCTCAATGTGTCTCATCCCCCCCCCGTAGGTGTTTCATCCCCACTCAGCCCTTCCATGTGTCTAATTCTCTCCCCCCAGCCCCTCCATGTCTCATTACCTCCCACCAGCTACATCATGTGCCTCATCCTCTCCAAGCCCATATGTTTCATTCCCCCCCAGCCTCTTCATGTGTCTCATTTTTCCCCCAGCCCCTCCATGTATCTCAACCCTTCCCCCACCGGTGTCATTCCTCCCATGTGTCTCATTCTCCATTTTTCCCCTTCCCAACCCCTCCAGCCCCTCCATATGTTTCATTCCATCCTGTCCATGTGTCCCATTACCTCCCCCCAGCCCCTCCATCTGTCCCATTCCCTCCCCCAGCCCCTCCATGTCTCTCCTCCTTCCCCCCCCCTGTACCTGCTCATGCTGTGGTACCCATCTGACAGGAAGTGCACTCTCAGTGAGCACTTCCTGTCAGACTTCAGTCCACTCAGCCATGCTACAGATGGCCCTGCAGTTATGGTGGTCCACGGTCGCAGCTGCAACCCCTACGACTGTGGTAGTTATGCCACTGACAGCAACCCACTGTCTAGTACATGCACCAGGCTCAGCATAGCTAGTAAATAGTGTGGTCCAATTGCACCTCAGAGTGACACGCAATCTTTGCCTGTGTAGCCAAAAATCCTGGCACTAGCCCTAATTTTAAGCCGTAAGTATTGCAGTATTGTTCAAATTAGTGTAGGACCCACCGATATTGGGGTACTGTGTTGCAGAGGTAGACTTAGCATGCTATGGCCATATGGTGTAACCAAATCCCCATGTTTGTTTGCTAAGATAGCAGATTTTTTTTTTTTTACCTAAACAAACTGCCCATTTTTATCTTTTTATATTTAGTGCAATACAAAACATTAGCTTATTTTTCTTTTTAAAATAATATGATTGAAAGAAATCAAAGACGAGGGCTTGGTCTAAAATGTGCTGCAGTAATGGGATATAGTAAAGAGATGATCAGTTGGAGATTTTGCAAAATCCCTGCTCGTGTGGCTTGAACAGAGAATACTACACCCTGTTCCAAATTATTATGCAAATGATATTTTTCTCATTTACCTAAATAATTGATGTAAATAACAGTCAGCATAATTCTCATGTTATCAACTATTAAGAGTACAATTCAAATTTTATTGAACAAACCTCCTAATGATAACAGTATTTTTTTTAAACATAAAAAACTTACAATGCACTGTTCCAAATTATTACGCACAGTAAGTTTCAAAACACTTTATAGGTTGTAAAGAACTGAAAATTGTCATTTGTTGTGTTTGCAGCATATTTACTGAAATCAAAATCTATTTCAATCAAACTTATAACAACATTTTAACTTTTTAAACATTTTAACAGGTCACGTTACATTTTAACATAGGACCCCTTATTTGATAGCAGCTTCACAAGTCTTGCATCCATTGAACTTGTGCGTTTTTGGACAGTTTCTGCTTGAATTTGTTTGCAAGATGTCAGAATAGCCCCCCAGAGCTGCTGTTTGGATGTAAACTGCCTCCCACCCTCATAGATCTTTTGTTTTAAATATGTTTATTGTCATCAATATAAACACGGGTGTTGAACATAGTATTATTGACGCAGATAGTCGCCTACGCAGAGGTGTGCATATTGAAAGTGTAGACAACGTGAGGCCGAAATATTTCAGTTAGCTCAGAATAATATATGGTTGCCTGCGCAGAGGCATAGAAGTCAAAATAAACAAGCAATGACAAATATTGGGTATTCATAGGCCTTGCAAAGCTAGACATACAAAAGGCGTTAAACCTGCTTGGTACTACATTGTTAGGGCGTTGTTGTCAGGTATGTAGTGGCAATTAGTAGTGGCAATTAGTAACGTGTATTCAGCCATCAACTCGTTGAATGTTACTAGTGTGGTTCGTTAAAATAATATGATTGAAAGAAATCAAAGACGAGGGCGTCTCGCTCATTTTGCCACTAGGTATGCGACATTAACTGATATGGTATAGGCCCTCTTACTGCGGGAGCGTGACCTTAGGTACTCTGGGCATATGAGCCAGTCGTTGAGCCAGCGGTTTTAAGCAGTGTAGCACTAATGTCATGTAGCCTTGCGTGTGATGTGTCACGTCACTTATCTGTGAACTTTAGCCCTTAAGGGTATCATAGCTTTTCACATGTGCCGGTGTGGCTATGTGTGGACATGCACTGTAAGCGTCTTCCCTGACTGTGGGAGAGTTAACGCATATTCTGTTTTGAATATGTTTATTGTTATCACCTCATAACTTCCATTTCAGACTTGGTTTTGTTTATATGCAGGTACTCGCCTACGCAGAGGCGCTGTTTTCAGTTACACAAGTCGGAATGCCGTCTTATTGCCTGCACAGAGGCAAGTTAGTCGTGACTTTTTTATTACATGTTTGAACAAAGTGTTGCATGGTACAATTTACATTTTACCCTTTACATTTAACTAACGACTACCTTATTTGGAGAGTGCAATGCAGTTGGCATATTTTAACAATACACTGTTTTCTTCCGAAATGCCTGTGTCTGCATATTTATCCATGTTGCCATAAACTGCAGTGAAGACCCATCTTGCGAAAATGGGCTAGTGTTTGCGTGCTCTGGCCTTTTGCTTGCTGCCCTGAGTTCTAGTGTGTCTTGTGGCTACTAGCTCGTGTATATTGAGGTTGTATTGGTTTTGTACGTTTCGTGGCCTTCCCCTCTGCTAGTAATGGTGAAGCCTTTTGCGGTAAGTCTGTGTCTCCTCTATTGAATGTGTCCATGGTTGTGCCTATGTTGTGTTACTTTATTCTGGAGCTCTGTGTGTCCACCTCTAGTGTTGCGTCTTTGTGGTTCATGTTTCGGTGTGTCTGAATCGTTGTCTGTGTGTTGTGGTGTTGTCGCGTTTAGGTGGGTTCGCCTGTATGCGTGGTTGTGGTGCTGTCCTGTGGATTTTGGGGTGGACCAAAAAGGTCTGTGTTTGGGCTGTGGATGTGTGTGGCGCTCAGATGGTGTGGTTTCGCAACTCCCGTCTGGTTTTATCTGACTGCAGTGGCCGTCGGCTCTATGTCGTGACCGTCCGTGTGTTTGTAGTGGGCCTTGGTTCAGGTAGCGCAGTTTGAAGTCTCAGCATTTTTTTTTTGTTTGTTTGTTTTTTAAATGTGCCCGTGAGAGTATGCACTCCGGTCGGACTTTTTCCGCATGTACTCGTTGCGCTGCCGCTCGTATGTGTTGTGTGTTCACTTGTGTATGTCCCTGACAGGCCTGTTCATTGTCTCACCTCCAGTTGTCCTTTGGATATATGTCTATACGTGGTGGCAGGTCGTGTCTCGTCTATGTGTATGTGGGTATTTTGAGTGGGTGATGTTGGGTGATTCCATCCCCAGTCGCCGTTTCGGTTCGCCATTCCCCAACTCTTCATGTTGGTGCCGTATTTATTTTGGCTTAATACTCTCCTCCTCCGCCTACTGTGTCGCCATGCGGTTCTGAAAAGCGTAGGAGGCGGTTAGTGTAATCCAGTGAAACCAGTGCTTGGTGTAGCAATCTCTAAGGTTCGGGGTGGTTGCCTTCACGTCTTCGAATTTCCTGGTTGCTTCCACCTCTTCCACCCATCCTGCGATGGAGGGTGTGGTGGCCTGCTTCCAGTATATTGGGACAGTCGCTTTGGCTGCGTTTAAGACCCGTGGGATGACAGATTTACTGTATGTCGGTATAGACATATCCGTGTGATGTAGGAGGAATGTTGCTGGGGAACTCGGAAGCATTTTGTCTGTTACTTCATGTATTACCTCTCTAATTGTGTTCCAGAATGGTCGGAGTCGTGAGCACGCCCACCAGGTGTGTATGAATGTGC